CTAGTACTATCCCATCTTCCACAGCTCAACCTTTATCTGAGTGTTCTATACATTTGGGAGCAAATGCTCTGATGTGCTGTTCCGTGTCTTTCTTTTAAAATGGGCTATTTTCAGCAAATCAGCAAATACCCAAAATGTCTCTTCCTTATGTACTTTCAATTTAAAATACATTCACTCAACAAATATTGATTGAACTTGCACTTATTTTAAATGCTGAGCTAGGCCCTGAGAATACAATGACGAACAAGGTAAAGACTCTACCCTAAAGAATCTTCAGGTCTAGGGAGAGGAGGTAGATAAGTAGAAAGGGAATATCCCACAGTGTGTTAAGTGTTCTGTTTGAGGGAGGTGCAAAGTGAGATGAAAAACAAAAAAAAAAGGGTGAACATCTGGGGGCGGCCCCACGGTGTAGTGGTTATGTTCTCTGAGTTCCGCTTGGGTGATCCAGGTTCGTGGGTTTGGATTCCTGGTATAAACATGCACCACTTGTCAGCCATGCTGTGGTGGCAATCTACACATAAAATAGAGGAAGACTGGCACAGTTGTTAGTTCAGAGCTAATCTGACAGCGGGGGTGGGGGTGGGCTCAGGGGAGAGACATCCTATTTAGCACTAGGGGGTGAAGGGTGGGGTCAGAAAAGACTTCCAAAGGAATCAATGTTTACGCTAAAACTTGAAGGATAAGTAGGAGTTAGCCAGGTTATTTATGAGGTAGCCAACATAATATTAAGAGTAAAGACTTTGGAGACAGACAATTTGGGTTCAAATCTTGGCTGCAGCTGCTGTTTGTACTTAGGAAGTTATTTAACCTCTTAGTGCTTCATTTGGAGAAATCAAAAGGGAATTTACACAAGTTCTCACCACCACATCCACTTATCTACCTACATCTATGTCCATACACTCTACTTTTCTGCTTTTGCTACTGATGAACTTTCCATGCTCTTGTCAAAAGTCAGCTCTTCCACAAGTGTACCAGATCATGTTCCACCTTGCCTTCTCAAGGACTTTCCCTCTCCTGCATCATTAATGCTTCCTTTTTGACTGGATCTTTCCCATCACTATTACAAAATTCAGCTACTTCTCCTGTCTTTAAAATAAAACACAACAACAAAATTCCTCTCTTGACTTCACTTTCCTCTCCAGGTACTGCCTAAATACCCTCCTTTCTTTTTTCTTTTCTTTTTTTTAAAGATTTTATTTTTTTTTCCTTTTTCTCCCCAAAGCCCCCCAGTACATAGTTGTATATTCTTCGTTGTGGGTCCTTCTAGTTGTGGCATATGGGACGCTGCCTCAGCGTGGTTTGATGAGCAGTGCCATGTCCGCACCGAGGATTCGAACCAATGAAACACTGGGCCGCCTGCAGCGGAGCGTGCGAACTTAACCACTCGGCCACGGGGCCAGCCCCTCTTTTCTTTTTTTTTGAGGAAGATTAGCCCTGCGCTAACATCTGCTACCAATCCTCCTCTTTTTGCTGAGGAAGAGTGGCCCTGAGCTAACATCCACGCCCATCTTCCTCTACTTTCTACGTGGGACACCTACCACAGCATGGCTTGGCAAGCGGTGCCACGTCTGCGCCCAGGATTCGAACAGGTGAACCCCAGGCTGCCGGCTGCCAAAGTGGGAACTGCGCACTTAATCACTGCACCACCGGGCTGGCACCCCGCCTCCTTTCTTTTACAGATAAACTCCTCATAGGCATTGTCTATACTCATTCTCTCTTGCCATTCTTTTTTCTATCAGGCTTTTGTTCCTAACACTCTACATAACTATTTCTGTCAGGATCGCTAACTTCCTGTTCTTAAAGCAAGGAGTTAATTCTCAGTCCTCATTTGACATGGTTGATCACTTTTTCTTCCTTGACATTTGGCTTCCAGTACATGACATTTTTCTTTTTCTCTCCCACTTTGCTGGCTGCTCCTTTTTTGTCTTCATTGTCTCTAAACCTTGGAGTAGCCTAGGGGTCAGTCCTAGAACTCACTTTCTATTTACACTCACTCCCCTTTGTGATCTCATCTAGTTCCCTGGCTTTAAATACCATTTATTTGCTGGTAACTCCTAAATTTTATCTCCAGCCCAAACTTTTCCACTAAATTCCTGGCTTATATACAATTTAATCTCTCTACTTGGATGTCTAATAGACATTTCAAACTTAACATTTCCAAAATTGATCTCATTTCCCCCCTAGATTTGCTCCTCCCACAGCCTTGTCCCTCTCAGTCAACAGCAACTCCATCTTTCCAGGTGAGGCCAAAAAGCTTAAAAGTCGTCACTGACCGCTCTCTCTCTCACATCCCACATTCAATCTGTCAGCAATCCTATTGACTCTACTTTTACAACAGATCCAGAATGCAAGTAGTTCTCTCCACGTCCACTGTTACTCTGGTCCAAGTCACAATTATCCCTGGCTTGAATTATTACAAGAGCCTTCTGTCTCCATGTTTTGCCTATGCCCCCCTCAGTCTCTTTGCAATGCAGCAGCCAGAGTGATCCTGTTAAATATAACTCAAGGCATATGACTACTTTTTTCAAAACGTTCCAGTGGTTTCCAATCTCACCCAGAGTAAAAGCTAGAGTCCTTACAATGCCCTACAAGGGCCTATAAGATTGGGCCCTTTCCTAACCTCATCTGTTACCTTTCCTAACCTTATCTCCTGTTACCTTCCCTCTGGCTCCATTCCAGTCACAATAGCTTCCTTGCTATTCCTTAAAGCCTGAGCATGCTGCCCCCTCAGGGCTTTTGCACTTGCTAGCCAGGAACACTCCTCTGGTAGTATCTGCATGGCCAGCTCCTTCTTCTGGTTTTATTCAAAAGTCATCTTCCAGCAAGGCCTTTTCTGAACACTATTTAAAACTGCAAAACCCTCCCCACCACTCCCTATTCCTTTTCCCTGCTTTATTTTCTGTGGCCATTAACATACCATATAGTTTAATTATCTATCTGGTTTATTGTCTTTCTCCCACCCACTCTCTCACTCCAGAACGTGAGCTCCATGAATGCAGAGGTCTTCAATAGATGCTTAATAAATAAATGAATGAAAAGGGCACAGTGTCTAATAAATACTGTGGGGGGATATGCAGCTTGTGGGTACCAGCTACTAATAAATAACAAATACAATATTCATCTGGACCTGAAAATACTTTAGATTCATTTGGTGTTGACACTATTTGCTTCAAAAGCTGTTTTCTCTTTCCTTTCCTGTACATAGTGCTTTACGTATTTATTTGTATTTTAATTTACTTTTTCATGGTATGGAGTTATTTTTTACATTTAATTGATGTGTAACACTACAAAAATAATTTTGGTTTCAGTGTTTGGTTGATACATTTGTTTTAAGGGTATGCCCCACGGGATAGTTATGCTGAATTACTAGATCAGGACGGAGCCATAAAAAGCATTAGAACTTCATTCTAATTCTCTGAAAGTCTCAAAGGCTGAAAAATGAGGCGCTACCTATTTGTTTATTTATAACTTAATTTATTTCTATAAACATTTTAATTCTATACTATTATTGGAAAAAAATGATAAAGTAGGCTCATTACAAGAAGGCACAAGCATTATTTGAGAACTTCAAATATAGCTTACAACATTGGAAAGTCTGTTAAAATAAGAAAGCTCAATTTCTCCTCCTAGAATTTGCCAGTTTATATTCTGTATTTCTTCAAAAAGTCTCTGGTATCCATCCATTTTTATGTTTTTTGCTCATAGTTCTAGTATTTTCATAGCTAATAGGAGAAATGAAAAGGACATTTCCAGGGAAATATTTACACTCACATGCTGGCATAAAGATAAGTTAAGGTATCATGCTACAGCCACCAGGAAGCAATGGGTCTACTGCTTACAGTGTGTAGCTGTATAACCCAGGCAATTTATCTAACCTTTCTAGACCCTAGATTCCCCATCTATTAAATGAGTATAATTACAGTGTCTACTTCACAGGATTGTTGTAATGATTAAATAATAGAATGATTGTAAAGCAATGGCATAATAGCAGCCATACAGGAAAACACCTGATAAGTGTTAAGTGATATATAAGATAGGCATTGGTATTTTACTTAAGGTTCTTTCAGTTGCAAATAACAAAAGCTAACTCAAGCTAGGTTTCATGTATTCAATATATATTTATTGAGCACTTACTATGCACCTTCCTATGTGCCAGGCACTAGGCTAAGAACTGGGAAGGAAAAAGGAGAACTTTATAACAAGGATATGGGGTGTCACTTAGAACTCAAAGGCAAACTTACAGTTGAACTTCATTCAGAAAGAAATGGAACTGGGAACTGGAAAGCTAGAAACCTATGAAATATTCTCTGTCTCACTATCTACTTCTCTTTATAGATTTGTTTCCATTTTCTTCTTAGTTGATGAGTTTTTTCGGCAACAAAGCTTAGATAATGGATAGCAGATAACCACCCACAAGCTACCAAGTTCATGTATTCTGAGAGACTGATGGCTACTGTTTTCTCTTTGATCTTTTGCCTTAATTCCAAAGTCCTGATAGGATCAAGTGTCCATTCTTATCTAAACAAGGGGTCAGCTAAGAAGGTCAGTGTAAGTTGAACAAACATTCCAAATAGTATCTACAGCAAGTATTACCCATAATTTATAAAAGAAGAAACTAAGACTTAGAAGTATGAGCTACTTTCCCAAGTTCATGTGGGTAGTGAGTGCCAGAAACAAGATTCAAATCATGTTTGTGCAAGTGTAGGATCAACAAACGAGAGTGAGAGCCTCCTTCAATTTTGCATCTTAGAAGCTTTGCTCACCTCACCCTAGTCCCAGTTCTGCTAATACTTAATAGTTCTTTTCACTATCCATGTGTTCCCTTACTAAAATGTGACAGCTTCACAACTTTCAAAGAAACGCAATGTTTAAAAAATTTTCACAGATTCAGTTTGTAAAGTTTTTGCAAAGAGAATAAAAATGTAATTATATATGCTCTCATTGATTTTGTAGTTAAACAATTTGCCTTCCAGAAGATACTACTAAAAGCAAAAACTTACCTTCCCATTCTGTTGGGATATCCCCTACTTCATAGTCTACTTCTCTTTTGTTTGCTGCCTCTACAATTCTTCTCTCTCTAACAGTGTGTCCTATAAGACAAAAGTGATTATTACATTTTTAATACATGATACAGTAGTTACTAGAAGTAATATTTTCTCTTTTGATATTGCACACCTCCTCATATGGTAGAAACATTAACAGGAAAAAGAAGAGACTTCATTTAGAATTAGGTATGTTAGAAAAAGCAATTTCTGAACTACTGCAAAAGTTTTACATTTCCTACCATAGTATGCAAAATTAATTTTGGTAGAGTAAATCTAGATTCTGTGTACAGAAAAAGAACAACTAATTACTCTGTAGGGCAATAATGGCTAAAAAAACATAAAAACATTTTAATAATCAACAGACTGTTCAACTCTTTCAAACTCTCTAAGTATATATATTAGAGGGGTCAATGGCTGCTGCTACTGCGACATTCATGGCCCCTACTAAGTACAAGTGTGTAATGGACCATAAGACCCTGCTGTCACCCTTTCCCCACAGTACACTGGCAAGGGAACCAAGTCATAGGTTGGATTCTGTGGCCCATCTGAGCGACTACCTGTCAAGGGAATCTAAATGAAAAGGGACAGAAACTGGCGAGTTTTGGGTATGGTGCTTCATGTGTGAGATCAACATCTGGAGCAGGATGGTAGCAATGTAGAAAACAAGAAAGCAGGGAGAGTAGTAAAGAAAAATGTGAAGAATGGTCAGAGATGGAATGAGAATGACTGCTGCTTATACTTCTCAGTAATAAAAAGTTGATTAGTGTGTTTTTTTTAAGTTCATAAAGAAGGGCTAAAGCTATTTGGTATTTTCTGCTTTTTTCAGAAAGTCTTGATCATATCCTTCAAAGCAGCTTTGTCAAAATGGTGGTTTCAAAACATGTTCCTTTGACATTGAACCTTTAGCCTAGGAAAACCAGGTAAGCTTTTCTACTTCCCCATAGTTAACGTGTGCCTGCCTACTCCAGGGAATCTTAGCTGAAACAGAGAAGACATTGGTCAGTAATGAGGGAGGGAGCATGGCTTAACAATGATCAGACCAGTAAGGGAGAGAAATCTGGGCCTCATAAAATGCTACTTTCTCTTCACACTTTTAGGCCAACCTTACACTATGCTAAACAGACTGAGTACAAAAAGGAACTGATCTTATTGCCTGAAAATCTCTTTCCTACACTACCTGAAATTCTACTAACTAAAAATTCCTTCAATTGCAGACAAGGAAATTCCTGAGAGTTACTGTGCAGTAGAAAAGAATCCACAAAAGTGTAGCCTCAGAAGAGTGAGTGGCTAGTTTTACTTCCTCTGCCTTAGTAAGCGAAAGGCTGGGGTTTCATAGACAAGCCATTAATGGTTAATAACTCTGCAGTACGAAGTCAGGGAATCTCTGCATTTCATTACGGACTCATTTAATCAGGTTGATTTAATCCTAACAGAGGTTTCCCAAGTGTTATAAGGAGGAGTTCCCTTTTGCTTATCTTATCCAATAAAGATACAGTAGGGCAAGGGATAAGTAGAATTTTTGGGTTGTAGGGCCAAGGGTCAGGGCAACAGGAGCCTATAACAATGACAGCTACATTACTCTCATGGTAGAGGCTCAATATATGTAGCTATATTTTCACTAAAATGCTATTTATATCCACATATGTAAACACATCATAATAATGAGTTACCATAAATTTAGCATGTCCTGAAGTATGTTTCTATGACAATTTTCAAAATGTTTGAAAGAGTCAAAATACCTGTGTCTTGATATAGTCCTTATCTAAACACCAACATGAGGGCCGGCCCCCTGGCTGAATGGTTAAGTTCATGCGCTCTGCTTCAAACCAGGGTTTCACTGGTTTGGATCCTGGGCGCGGACATGGCGCCGCTCATCAAGCCATGTTGAGGTGGTGTCCCACGTGCCACAACTAGAAGGACCTACAACTAGAATATACAACTATGTACTGGGGGCTTTGGGGAGAAGAAGAAGAAGGAGGAAAAATAAAAAAATAAAAATAAAAAAATACCAAGATATATGTCCTTTCAGCAATAACTAGCACTGAAAGGACAACTATCACCTAAAATACAAAATGCTAACAAATGGGCTTCTGAAAGTCTGTGTGGGTTCTACAAACTTTTAAATGTACATCAACAAAATTTAGCATATGGAGAGAGGATAGAGAGGTCTAACATTCCCAGTAGCACTACTAAATGCATATACATTACAGGTATATCTATATGTCTGTGACACAAAACTTAACTTTTTATTCCTATCCTCAGGTCTAAAAATTTCAGTTAAGATCTCCTAAAATTTTTAAAAATGAAAAGTCATACTTATTTGTGTGTATATGGAAAGACAGGAAGAGTAATTTCATGAGTTAGGAGGCATACCTCGTGTTACTGTGCTTTGTTTTATTGCATTTCACAAAAACTGCATTTTTTACAAGAACCTCCACCAGCAAAAAGATTATGGTTCGCTGAAGGCTCAGATAGTGGTTAGCATTATTCAGCAAAAGAGTATTTTTTAATTAAGGTATGTACATTGGTTTTTTTAAAGATATAATGCTATTGCACATTTAATAGACTACAGTATGGCATAAATATAACTTCTACATGCACTGGGAAACCAAAAAATTTGTGACTCACAAATTTGCGGTGGTCTGGAACTGAACACACAATATCTCCAAGTTATGCCTTTAAGTGATTCCTTGATAATTGAAAAAAACCTTTGTTTACAAATAGATCGTACACATCTTTAGAAATATAAAATAAGGTCATTAGTTTATTGAATAAATTCTTTGCAATCAGATATGTTTCTTCTCCCCATATAGTTTTAAAACTACTCCATTCTTTGGAATAAATCCTACTTGTACAATTTTTACGAATTAGGAATAAAATTCATGCCTCCCACTGAATAAGAAATTATGCACAAACTGTACACTTACTCATACTAATATGCTTTGATACAACAGTTGTAAAGACAATCCTACTTATCATAGCAAAAAAATATTCCATCCCAGTAAACACAGCAAATTTAAGTACCTGCTCAAGTGTCAAAATTTTATGGTCTAATTTACATTTAAAAATTAACTTAATAACAAAGACATTTAATGTACGTGTAGGTTTAATACGTCCTAACATAACAATAAACAATTGAAGGTTGTGTACTCAATGAGCATTATCAAATAAAACAATGCATAGTTGTTTTACTTAATATTAAACATTAGATTTAATTAAAACACTCAAAATAAAAGTTTGAGTTCAGGTAGATTGTAATTGTCAATGGTGTATGGATTTAAAGACTGTAGAAGTAACATATTATTTCCCAAACTTATAAATTTTAAAGCTAGCTGCCATTAAGCTAATTGCCCTGGGAGGGCAGGATTTCCTATTCCTTGTTTAGAGAACTATGGAATCCATTTAGTTAAAAAAAGGAAAAAAAGACAAGATCTCCAGGTATTGGGTAGATGACAGATTTACGTAAAAGATAGATTTCACCTGTTCCACTGAGCTTCTGGGATAGAGTATGGGAATCCTGGACACAGATATGGGAAGAAGGATCTAGAGCAGAGAGTCCTAAACTTCAGTCACTCAAGTACCAGCTTTGCAATTTTTGTCAGACCTTATGGTATTATATCCTTAATATTCTTCCTTAATTTGACTTGCTTCTTTCTTCAATATTCACTTTCACCTTGCCCTAAAAAACACCCATGAGTGGCCGGCCCAGTGGCGTAGTCGTTAAGTTTGCGTGTTCTGCTTTGGTGGCCCAGGGTTCATGGGCTTGTATCCCGAGTATGGACATAAACACTGCTCATTAAGCCATGCTGTGGTGGCATCCCACAAATAAAATAGAGGAAGATTGGCACAGATGTTAGCACAGGGCCAATCTTCCTCACCAAAAAACCCCCAAAACAACACCCATGAAATCACTGACTTATTATACTATTAATATTTAATAGTATTAATATACTTAATATACTATTAGTATTTTTTGTTCAAACATACATAAAATAGATATATATCTTAAAAATTTAAGAGATTGTCTTTGTACCACACGACGTCATCTTGCAGACTCTGCTTAGGAAACCACACTGGTCTTAGCAAACGGCCCAGCAACACATATGGTGATACATGGCATAGGAATAAACATAACCAGTAAGAAATTCCCATAGATGGGAAATGGCTGATGAATATCAAAGTCTTGCATGTATTGTGTTTACCCTCATTTCATAAACTCTTATGTTATGTACAACAATCTTATGTTAGGTTTGAAAGAAGAGAGCAGAGGTCCTAGAATTCCAGGGGTGACTACAAGAAAAATAAATAGCTAAAATTTATGGCAAGTTTACCATGTGCCACACATTGAAAAAAGTTGTAACTTTGTATGGGTAATTTAACTTAAATTTGACAATTCTGTGAGGTAGTATTATTCCTTCATTTTATAAATAAAGAGACAGGCCTAAGAGTACTTAAGAAATTTACTTCAGGTCACACGCTAGCCAACAGCAGTCAGGACTTGAACACAGGTCTTCTAACACAGATCCTAGACACTTACTCACTAAGCTAAGTTGCCAGACTTTAAGACATCTACAAATGTTACATCTGTAAATATACTACATTTCAGTTAGTAAAGTACAAGGGCTTAGCTAAAAGCAAAAGTAACTGCCATTTCCCAGAATATTAAAAATCAACTCCTTCTCTCCAAGAAAGAAGAAAGAAAAACCACTGCTTTTCATTAGAAAACCACTGTTTTCTCCAATGTAGAAAACATCATAAATCATTTAATATGACAATTCTAACAATCACTTAACTTTCAATAAACATTCACTGAAGAAAATCTGGAAAATACAGAAAAATAAAAGAAGAAATAAAAATCATCCATAACCTCACTACCCAGAAAATCATTATTAACACTTTATTAAATCTCCTTTCAGACTTTTATCAATAGATTATAAATGTGCAAACACTTACATATACACATATTTATAAGATTAACACATTTGACCCTTTTCCCACTACTCAGAAAATATGAAGTTTCTCATGTTGTTATTCCATAACTTAAA